GATGGCTTCGCAACCCAACTCTTTTATTTCTTTTTTGTATTTTGTTTTTTATTTTTTCTTTCATGCGTGTGTTCTTGAAGTTTCTTCCTTCGATTGTCTTGAAAATGAAAATGTGTGGACCGATTGGGCGAATACTTTCTTTGCATAGTTTTTTTGTGCCGGCTTCATAGCCTTGTAGAAAGCTTTTGTTAATACTTAACAATGGTGTTTTTTTTTTTTTGCAATTGTCTCTCTGTCTGTCTCTTGTCTGCTTGGGAGAACGGTGCAATATAGGGTGGGGATGATTCACAAACCTTTTTATTGGCAATATGAGAAGAGGAGTTGAAGTCATCTCTTCAGCAAGTAGCTAGGAAAGTTATGTTGTGAAATCAAATGTTGACAATAAAGTGAAATTAATGAAAATAACGAAAAGAATGCAATCCAAATAATTACACAACACATAATTTATGTGGTTTGGCAATTGCCTACGTCCACGAAGTTACAGAGATTTTACTATTCTTAAAAAAGAATACGGGTGGCGGTCGTACAGAATTCAAAACTCTAATAACCAAATAACAGTTTATATATGTCCAGCGCATAGGGGTACAAAATGGGCCAATCCCCCGGACCCCACGAGGGTTGTCCATGAGCGCTACGGCTTGGGCGGCCTCGAAAAATTTCTTATTAAAAAACCACGCAATATTATTTTGGGTCGGGTCATCATCCAGATCAAATATAAACTAGACTCCACAAAAAAATCCAACAAGTTATTGCGACTCTCCCGAGCAGAAAAATGTTTGCTTGGTTTTATGCTCTAAAAATTAGTAGGGATTGATTTATGCTCGCTAAAGTTAGGATGCTAACAGGAGCCACAAATGGGGGGCACGTTTATACATGGAAATTAGATTAGGACTATGCTTCTTTTTGTACCATATTTCTCATAGTTAAGTAATAGGCTCGACTTTTTCCTAGCATTGTTCTAATGTGAACTCAACGTCATGGGTTTGAGTTGTGAAAATAGTCTCTACACAAGTAGGCCCAAAACTATGTATATTTGACTTTCTCCAGACTCTGCAGTAGCAGAAGTTCTTTGCATTGGTCATCCTTTTTTATTTCTTGTAGTTAAGTGGTTAAGCAACACTCTCATCATGATGTATCACCTCTCAAGTCATGTAAATTGTGTGAGGACAAGATTTTAAATTGTTGACGGTTAGGATTATTGCTGGATGTTTTGAAGTTTGTTTGTTGCTTTTGAAAGTTGTAACAGCACTATCTTTAGAATTTATAGCGAAAGAGGTACAATATAGAAATTATCATGTTTTTGGGGTCAAAATACGTGTTAAGATAGATTCTAGAAATTAGGATTGATCCTAATAATTTTATTTTGTTGTAACTTGATATAAAAAGTAATAATTTTGAAATTTTTGCATATTCAAGTTTCCAGTCATGTGGTGAACAAAATTATTTGGGTAAAATGGATGGGGCTGCCAAGAATAATCCTGGCATAGCAGGTGGTGGTGCTGTGTTGAGGAATGAGTTTGGGGGATTGGTATTAGCTGCTTGTTTCTTTTATGATGAGTGCTCGAATGTGGCTGCTGAATTTAAAGCTTTGCTGAATGGCCTGCAGTTAGTTCAGAAGTATGGACTGTTTGTGTATTAGCTAATAATTGAATGTGACTCTTTAATTATTGTGAATGCAGTTTTGAGTCTTTGTGAGTGTCCATGAATTTTCTTGGAAATATTGAGGAAGATTAAGCAGCTGTTAACTGGTGTGGAATTCCAATTAAGGCATACTTTTAGAGAAGCTAATGCTGTCACTGACAGATTAGAAAATGATGTTGTTAAGTGCAGAAGATCTTTTGATTTTTCTGGAGATTTTCAGCTGCCTTGCGAGGTGAAGATGGCTTTGCGAAGTGATTTGGGAGGATTGCCTGAGTTGAGAAAGAAAGGAATTGTGATTTTTGATGATATGGGCTAATTGGGCTTATGACCGTCGTCACTTATGGATGTTATTACCAAAATATAAAATAATCCATTGAGTTATGGCCAAGGGTGTGAACTTTTAGCAGCATTGAAACCACAGTTCGACTAGAGGGAGCCATGGTCCCTTGAGTTTTAAAAATTCATTTTTGACCTTTTTATTCTTTTCATAATTTTAAATATATTATTAAGTTATCCATTTTAGATATGGATCTATTCAATACTTCCTCCCAATCTTATGTTATGATGGCGTTAAGAATCGATAAGTGTGAGAAATGAGAGTTGAAGACCTCCTCTATGAAATCTATGGATATCTGTTTGTGAGATTACAACTTTTTTGTAACCAATTGTTATATTCCTCTAAATGTGACTTGATATTTTAGAAACTGATGACGTGACACTAGTGATTTATCCCTCGACAAGGTCTGATACCGTAATTTCCTTTTTGTCCCTTCTCAAGTTTTAGTCTAAGCTACTTCAGGTAAGTCGAACTTGTTTAGGAATTGCTGAACTAGTTCTAGCCATAACCAAGACTCAAGGTTTAGAACTGACCTGAACTTTTCTCAGCATCAGATCATTCATTCTGTTCCTTAGGTCAATAATTCCCCTACTTGTGTAAGTTTGTTTTCTATGATGATTTTAGTCTTTGTATCATTATATTATTATTTTTGGAGAATTACTCTTAGACCCCCTAAGGCTTGTCACTTAATCACCTAGATTCCTTGATATTTAAAATATTACATGCAGACCTCTTAAAGTTTGTACGCGTGTAACACTTAAACCCCTGTTATAAATATATCCGTTAATAAATTATACTTAGATTCCCCTAAATTTTGTGTGTATATAATACTTAGACCTTAAATTTAAAATATTATACTTAGACCAAAAATACTCCAATCAAATATAAAATATAAAATATTTTAAATTTTACAACCAAAATTCATATTCTATTGTATCATTTATTGAAATAAAATCAAAAATAAAAATTCAATTTTTTCTTAAAAAATTGTAATTGGTATACAATTATATTGTCTATGAGAATTTAATTTAGTCGTTTAAACGATCAAATTAAAATACCAAACTACCCCAATTAAATATAAAAGATATTGAATCCATTACAGTTTGATTCCTTGTTTAATTTTTTAATTTTGTTCTAATAGTCAGTATAAATATATACTAACTATGTTTTTTTTTAAGTTTAATAAATGACAAAATAGAACATAAATTTTGGATGTAAAATTCATATTCTATTATGAATGACTTAGGCCTATTGTTTGATTTTTTAGTTTTATTCCAATAGATAGTATAATTGTATACTAATTACAATTTTTTTAAGGAAATATTAAATATTAAATTTTAATTTTATTTCAATAAATGATACAATAGAACATAAATTTTGGTTGTAAAATTTAAAATATTTTATATTTTATATTTGATTGAAGGATTTTTGGTCTAAGTATAATATTTTAAACTTAAAAGGTCTAAGTATTATATACCCACAAACTTTAGGGAGTCTAAGTATAATTTATTAACGGATATATTTACAACAGGGGTCTAAGTATTACGCATGTACAAACTTTAGGGAGTCTGTGTGTAATATTTCAAATGTCAAGAAGTCTGAGTGATTAAGTGACAAACTTCAGAGGATCTGGGTGTAATTCTCCCTATTATTTGTGTTACAATCTTGATTCACCCATGGTTTTGCGTTCTCTACTTCGCCCTTGGTTTTCAAATATTCCCACTAAAAGATCAGCATCTCAAGTTAAAATTTTGGACTCAAATAATTGGTCAAAAGACATACATACCTTTCTACATTTCCAATTTTGCTTCTATTTATTGTTCACTCCCAATATGGAGACTATCCATACCTTTCTACATAGTGTCCGAGTGTGACAAAAATCACAAAATTATAAATAATACTATGTACAATCTAATATTCTTAGGCTCCATACTACCTTCTGAATTCATTGTTAGACATTAATCAACTGAAATTAATCCTCTAAAAAAATAATAATAATGCCACGAAACAATTTTTTAGCATCTGCTTAACAAATCAAGGGATTATAAATTCAAAACTGTTGCTTTGAAATTGTAGGCCATTTTTCCAGAGCGCTCACCATGGGTGCATGTGAAGAACTTGATGGAATATCATGAAATATTAAGTGTATACCTATGTTTCTTGCTTCCCTTCATGTAGAAGTTGATTGGTCTCTGCCTTTTTTTTATCAGATCTCACATGAATAAACCTTTTTTTACGTGTCAATAAACCTTAATTAGTTACAGTATCATATGTACTTTTGGGTTAGTAGAGGAAAACTGCAAATTTAACAAAGTTAATCCACTCAAACATGTAGCAGCTACTACTATGAGTAACAGCTAGCTCTATTGTTCTAGTCCATTTGGTCTTTAAACAAGAGATTGTTCTCCTCCAATGATACATTAATTGGGAAAAGAAATATGACTATCTATTAATAGTTTTTTTTGTGCGGTGGTATTTTGTGATTAAGACCTTTGTTTCAGACATTGTAGCCTCAGGTAATTTTACTAATGACATTTCTATGCACTTGAACAACCGTCGTCAATTTTTGTTTCTACGAAAGAACTGGATTGGTGGAAATAGAAAATGTCGGTGTACACATGACAGATTTTTCACTATATACAGAATTGCAATGTTGTCCTGGGTAGACAATATCGAAAGCTTAGAATTGCCCACCTGCCTATTATCAGTTTTGTCCTCATCCAAAAGGGCAGTAGATGTACGAATATGTGCCGTGTTTTTAAGTTTGTTAAAATTTATTCAATCTATATTTGACCCATTTATAATCATGTCCTGTTGGGATACAAGTCAGATTTAACAGTAAGTATCGATCTATTCTTCAAACAAATCAATTCGTGAATACTAAACTCGTACCAATTACCTCGTTGAGAGTTTGTGTTAATTTGATGGATCTAGCAAAGAATGACCAGCCAGGGAGTGGCCGACCGAGTGGGGGCAAGCAAACAATTATTGTGTAGTCCTTGACCCCAAAAGTCAAGTGCAGCACAATAATGGCCATTCATTTCTCATCCTGATAAATCTTCAACAATAATGGCGTTTCACTCAAGCTCATTGGTGACCTGCCAAGCACATAAATTTAGCAAAACTCCCAAAAAAACAGTGAGAGAGATAAGAATGGAACCCAAGAGGATGTGCCTTTACATCTCCATAGCTGTTGTACTAATTGTGCTCAGCACAAATATTCAAACAGCTGATTGTTCAGAGATCAAAAAAGGAAGCTCTTGGTGCAATGGAACCATCACAGACTGCATTGAAGAAGACGACCAAGAGTTCCTAATGGAGTCTGAAGTGAGCAGAAGGATTCTTCAAACCACCAACAAACTCACTGTCAAATCTCTCAACCGTGGATCAGCTGTATGTGATCCAGAACGGTATGGCAATTGCATAGTTCAGATCAACCAACACAATAGACCTTGTACCTACGAAAATCGATGCAAACGCGGTCCCCAGCCATGATCATTACGAAGGAGAGATACCTGTGCTGTAATTAAATCTCTCAGACGAAACAATGATCTTGCTATGTGGTTTCTTTTTCATCCCTTTTTTTTTTAATCTGTAACCTTGTTATAATTGTAGTTAATGTAAAATTCTCCCTTCATATACTTGAATCCCTATTATTTGATGCCATGTTTGCTAAACAATTAGCTACCTCATTTCCACTCCTACGAATCCAAGACACACACAAGCTACTTAAGCCACTGACATATCCGTTGATTTGCTCTCCCAGAATCCAATCTCTGAACAGTAGTCCTTTCTGTGGTAAGATAACACCTGTAGATTGTCATACTGCCACAGCAAAAGGACATTGTAAGAAGAGGTGGTCAAGGGAGATTCAACAGAGCCATCACATAAGAGACACTCAATGTCTACAATAATTCTCCTTTAGTGAAAATTGCATCGAGTAGGAAGGATATTATTGTTAACCCTCCATGCAAAAATTTTAATTTAATTGGAAATCTTCAAGAGCCACATAAATTCACCAGGCCACTTCCCATTAGTTCTACTAGGCCCCCTCCTCTGTTTAGATCACGAAGTAAAACTTGACCCATAATCAAGTGGTATTAGGGGTGTCCAGTTGGGCCATGAGACCCGTTACTTGACCTGAAAAAATAAGTCCAAAACCCATAGACTTAATAGTTGGTCCATCTATCCAACCCCGAGCCCAATATCTTTCCGGAGAAAGCTTGGGCTGCCCCTCAAATCCATTACCCAACACCGAACTCGGTCCATTATTTTAGTTTTTAAAAGAGTTTTTTAAGTGTGGGTACAATTTTTAATACTTATTTGAGCAAAAGTGTATGAGTAAATAGTTTATTCTATTAAATATAATTTTTATAATACTTTTTATGTTTAGGTACAAAATTCAAATGAATTAAAATCCTTTTTACTTAAACGCCCATCCTTATTTTATGCAGTCATGATTGACAGTTATTTTAGGAAACGAATATATAAACATTACATATTTGTTGTCTTTTTGCTTTTGAATTTTGAATGAGCAGTTTTGTGCAAGATTTATGCATCTATTGACAGTTATTTTAGGAAATAGATATGTATTCTTTACATATTTGTTATCTTTATTTTTTTGAATCAAACGTATTTGTTCAACTGATAAGTCTTCTTCAACGTGTTCAACTAATAAGTCTTATTCAAAATAAGTCTTCTTCAAAGGCAATTTATTTCTCCGGTAGTGGTTTTCTTTGAAAAAGGAATTGCAAATACCAATCGCATCATCGGATTGAAGGTGAGTTGTTAATAATTATATTTCTTCTTTTTTGGTCATTTTTTTTTGGGAAATTTCTATGTTCTATTTTTGTTTTATGTTCATTTTTTGTTGGAATGGAGGAAAAAAAACTGTTTCGATCTTAATGGGTGTAACTGTTTCTTATGGGTGTAAATATTTTTAGTATAGACAAAATAATTACATTTCCTCTACAATTCGATTATTTTTTTTGGGGAAATTCGCATGTTCGTTTTTGTGTATATTTGGTCGTTGTTGGAATGAATGGGAAAAAAAAATTAATTTGGGTTTAATGGATGTAACTGTTTTTAAAATTGGTGTAACTATTTTTGGGTATTGACATTAATGTATGTTTTCGAAAAAATGTTAATATGTCATTGTTTGTTAGTTGTTTTATTTTATTCTCAGATTATTAATTAAAGATTGTTATATGTTATTCATTTTTTGGGATGAACGGGGAAAACATTGTTTTGGTTTTTAATGGGTCTAACTGTTTTTTAATTAGAGTTATGATTTAATGTAAATGCTATTGTGTGCAATTTTTCAGCCAATATCTATTTTGGAAGATCCTGTATATCTGTAAATTTTTTTTGTTTTATGTTTTTCTCCCAATACGTAGATAATTAATTAATTGATCTGTATTAATGTTTTTACAGCCCCAAGAGCTTTTAGATACAAAGAGCTCAAGTTAGCCAGCAAAGACATTTGACATTGTTTACGGATCATTTGACATTGTTTACTAATACTTTTTCATAGAATTAGGAACTGTTACTGCAGTGAAAAGATCAAAGCATTCTCATGAATGTAAAACTGAATTCTTAGATGAATTGTCTAATATTGCTTGTTTGAGGCACAAATATTTATTTCAGCACCAATGTTGGTGTGTTGAAAATGGGTGAATTGCTACTTTTGTTTGAGCCTTGATAAGATACTATACCCAAAATCTGAATTAGGTAACCCATTGAAATGACCATATAAATATCATGTTAGAATTGGTTTAGCCTCTGTTTTGACTTACCTCCATTAAGAATGTGAACAACAATTAATCCATAGAGACAAAAACACCATTAACAATATGCTTGATTCAGTAACAGATATTCAAGACAGTTATAACACAAATAAGATACAACTATTTAGCAGTTAATCAATAAAGTTACCGATAACAAATAAAAAAATTGAATCCTTAAAATCATAAAAATAGAACCCATTAAATTTTGAATATGAATTGTCTTTATTTGAATCCCAAATAGTTACTTAAAATAATTGTGTAACTATTTTTAATCAAAAAAATCATGATCTATAAAGTTGCCAATAACAGATTTATAAAAATTGAATCCTTAAAATCAAAAGTATAGTTATGCTACACAGTTAGACCCAATAAAATTTTGAATTTGAATCCCAAATAGTTAATTAAAATAGTTACGTAACTATTTTTAATCAAAAAAATTATGAACCATAAAGTTGCGAAAAACAGACTTGTAAGAATTGAATCTTTAAAATCAGAAGAATAGTTACACAACACAGTTAAACCTATTAAATTTTGAATAAAAAATATATTTGAATTCCAAATAGTTACTTAAAACAGTTACGTAACTATTTTTAAGCAAAAAAATCATGTTCCAAATTGTTTTTTTCATTTACATATGCTATAATAGATTTGCAAATTCTTAATTCAATTTCACAAAATTAGGGTTTTATGATTTGGTTTTATTTTTCAATCAACTTACATAGGTTTTTGAAAAAAAAAAAAACAAAATAATCAATGAATGAAAAAAAATAAAAAAAATAGAATGTCACCTCAAATTTCCAGTGAAGAAGTTGCCGGAGACGCTAAACAGGTTCTGCAAGATGTCGGTGACGATGAATAGTCGGATTTTGGAACTATTGTAGTACTCCTTTTTTTGTGGAATATTCAATGGTTAAAATAGAAATAATAAACATTTATGTCATTCTATGGATATCTCATTGTCATGGAATCAGGATGCCTTAGAATAAGGGTTTTGATAATTAAATCCCCTTTTTCACCTCCCATTAACTGATTCTAGTCATAATATACGGAGGAATAAAATTGGGTTCTACGTTTCCATTGTTTATCGAATGGCAATACTAGTATTTTTAAAAAATATGCACTTTACCCCAAATAAAATTTTGAGTTATTTTTTTGCTCAAATAAGTCTAAAAAATTGTACCGACTTCTAAATTCCCCTTTTTAAAAAAACTAACCACTGAAAGTTAGGTGAAATATTCCTTTTAAAAAAAGAATTATTTACATAAATATTAAGTTGAGTAATTTAGGGTATTATTTATTATTCAATATTCATTATTTACTTAAATACTAAATAATTCATCTCAAATAAAATTTTGTCCATTTTAACTCTACTTTTAATTTAAAAATGTAATTTACAAAATATTAAGTTGGAAACTTTTTAAATGAAGATGTATATATATATATATATATATATATATATATATATAAGTTTCACCCAATGAGTGGTGGGTTAAGTTGCAGGTAGCCTATCTCTACTCGAAGCTTGGCCCACTCCACACGATAACTCACATGAGTAAAGGATTGGGTCTATCCTACTCAGGCCTAACTCGAAAAAATTTTCATGAGCCTAGCCCGGACCATGGACACCCCTAAGTGATATGCACTTTTTAGAGGGAATCAAATGAAGCAGCTCACGAGATGGGAACTTGCACTCAGGCACGAAGGAGACCTCCCTGATCACCAGCTTCCAAACCTAGTAAATGAAGCGGTGATCAAGGAGAATCCTATTTAATTAGATTATTTTTAGCTTGTGTTAGTTTAATTTACTTACTATCATTTAACATGTACTTCACCTTTTACTAGCAAAAAAAAAAAACAAATCGATCATTGGGTAGTTGAGCATAGATTGGGATAACAACAATTTTTGCAACTTTAAATGGATGAAAAAGCTCATTTAGAAGGTCCAAATTCCAACACATCTGCTCATGACCAGAGAACAAACCACCCTTTCCTCATCCATGCTTGGTATTGAACTTGTGACTTTGAAAGTATGCGGTCTGGGTATCCATCTACCTAGGGATGACAGTCGACCGAAGCGAGGGCGGGGTGTAGTCTCCATCCCCGTACCTGCTTAAAAAAACTATGTTCATCCCCAAGAGTGGTCTACCCTCGTTAACGGGTTTAATTTTTATCATCACCTCCGTCCGCAGATAAATTTGTAATCCCCATCCCTGCCTTCATCCCCGTCCCTTTTCCTCGCACCCGCCCCAGCCCCAGCCCCAGCCCAAGCTCAAGCCAACATAATCCAAAATTCTAAATAATCCAACATAATTATAGAATATCATAAGATAATTAAAATTTTGCCTACAACATAATCCAACATAATATAATTAAAACCTTGTATTGCATGTAAATCCAACACAACATCATGCAATACAACAAAATATAACATAACATAATTCAACATAACACAAGGAACAAAGGTCTAAAATACTACTTGAATATTTGTACTGGAGAAATTTTTCTGCATGTAGTTTCACACCTATAATTTAATAAAACATAAAAAAAATATAATAATTGCATAAAAAATATTTTTATTTGTTAATAAAATTGATTGGTTGAATTGAAAGATTACCAATTCAATCATCTCTTAACACCATCGGTTGTGATAGAATATACTTCTTCAACATCATTTTTCTATATCATTAAAAGAAAAAAAATTATTCGATTCTTCCAAAGGGAAATTTTCAACTAACATGATATACCTCATCACCCATGTCAAGATCCTCCAATAATGCGTTCCTCTTCAGGCCCATCGAAGTGGATGGACCTAAGAAAAAAATAATGGATTAATCATACTTTAAATCGCCCAAAAAATTATGATGCACATACAAATAATA